CTTTTTGGGATTTCCCACTGGACGGGGATTTGAGGCCCAAAAAGCCGGACATGTCCGGGAAAAACTGGACGTATGGTGACCCTAAGGAACACTGGGTGGGGGCTTACAGGGACCGGGATACTGGGTGTGGCGGAGTCGGGGTGGGGAGTGTAGGGACTGTGAGTGGGGACTTGTCGGGCGCAGGGCCCCTCGGTTGGGGAGAGCAGAGCAGGGACACTGGGGTTATGGGGTGAAGGGAAAAAGGCACCACAGCGGTCCAAGCACCAGCGGCTCCTGCGACCCAGGCCGTCGCTGGGGGCGCTGTGGACCTGGCTGGCCTCCCCGAGCGGCGCCGGCCTCTCTAGCTGCTTTGCGCCGTCGTCTCCTGTCAGCCGCTGTCGGCTGGGCCGGGGCCGCGCCGCGCCGCGCTCCGCCCGGCAGCCCCCGCATGCAGCGCGTAGGCGCCAGTTGCTGCCGGGCCCTGCGCTCATGGCGCTGCCGGCGCTGCCCGGCTCGGGGGTGCAGTTCCGGAGGATCCTGGCTCACTTCCCTCAGGAGCTCAGCCTGGCCTTCGCCTATGGGTCCGGGGTCTTCCGACAGGCGGGGGCCGCCCCCAGCCAGAGCGTGGTAAGCGGGAATGTGCAGCCGGGGGCCGGACAGGGCATTGCCCTGGCTACGGGTTTTCCCCCCCCCCCCCAGTGCACCGTGGGGGGGAGGGGCATTGCCCGGCTATGGGTTATCATCTCCAGAGTGCACCGGGGGGGGCGGGAGGGTGTATTGCCTGGCTGTGGGTTGTTAACCCCTCCCCCCCCCTGCACCCCTGGGGGCCAGGCAGGTGCATTGCCCTTAACAGATTTGTATCCCCTGGAATGCACCCAGAGAGGTAGTTCCCTCAGTCGTCTCTTTTTCTGAGCTGAAAAGTGTGGAAAAAGTGAATCGAGAAGTGTTATTTCCCTACAATACAAAAATCATGGGTCACACAATTAAATTAATAGGCAGCAGGTTTAATACAAACAAGAGGAAGCACTTTTTTTACACAGTGAACAACTAACTTGTGGAACTCATTGCCATGGGGATGTTGTGATGGCCAAAAGTAAAACTGTGTTTAAAAAAACTGGATAAATTCATAGAGGTTAGGCCCTTCAGTGGGTTAGCGAACATAGTCAGGGACACAGTCCCATGCTTGGGGCGACCTTAAATATCTGACTGCCAGAAGCTTTTATTTTCTTTTAAATTGGCAAAACTGCATGATTTCATGCATGGGCATAGCTTGCCTTTTCACTGTGTTTTATTTTTCAAGCAAACTAGATCAATCCAAATGTCTCCCTCTTCTTGTTCCTCACCACAAGATGCAAAGAAAGAAAAATAAGAATTTAACATTTTTAAGATTGTTCTCCACAAACATGAGGAAGGGAGAATAACTTGGAAGATTTAACAACAGTCTGTTCAACTCTGTACCAACTCTGTTCAGTCACTGATAAGCTGAGACCTCAGACCAGTCCAGAAATGGCAAGGCATGCAGAGAGACATTCCTCAAGAACTTTCAGCATATCTCAAAATGTTACATATAATAACTAGTTATATAATAATTAAAACTGTTCTGAACTAGCTAGTCTATGTTGTGTTTAGATAACAAGTCTCTTAGGTTTGGAGTTCAGTTCAAACTGTTATTTCATCACAAATCTGATTACAACTGATTACAGGTAAAGTTTGAATTTCTCACTATATCAGGTCTTTAAAAAAAAAAAAGTCTACTGAGAGTTGGGGTTTGTGCGTAATTTTCCAAGCATTGAGAACTCCAAATGAAAAAATTATATTAGATTCTCATGCAAAGATGTGTCTTATATAGAAATGTGTTGGACATGAATTAATTTGCTTTTTAAAAAAATCAGTTATCGGTTGGTTATGTCCTGGCTGTGTGTTGATGTCTCCTATTATCATCGCTGGGCATTATGTGAAGATCAGTAGAATCTTATAGAGTGAATATTGCTTGTTTCCTAAACTATATGTAACAGTGTCTTTTTTTCTGTTTACCTTGTAGCACAATATGCTGGACTTCGTGTTTGCTGTAGATGATTCTGTGACTTGGCATATGATGAACCTGTTAAAGAATAGGAGTCATTATTCCTTCCTAAAACTTTTTGGGCCAAAGCAAATCAGTAATATACAGAGCTGTGGAGCAGGGATTTACTACAATACTTTAGTGCAATGTAATGGTAGGGTAAGTACAATAGGTTGTGACTAATTTGTATAGATCAAATGTTTACATCTAGAATATTGGAATTACTAGCCTAGGGTAGAATCTGTTCAGGAAATACAAATTGCAGTTTGCATTTATGTTACAGTACTACTATGATAGTAGCTGATACTTGACTGATACTTTAGAACTGAAGCTTTTATTTAATTGCTTCATAGCATCTTTAATATTCAGTGTCTCAAGCTGTTTTACAAAGTAATGTGTTAAATCCTAGAAAGCAATACAGGAGACGACATTGTGCTCAATAAAAGCAACAATTACACTCAGCAGTTAAAGTAAAGCACTTTCACAATAATAGCTGAACTTGTATTCTTTTTCTCAGCAATAATTCTAAACACATTACAGCCTTCAATGTGGGAAGGAGGCAAGTATTGTCACCATTTTACAAATGGGAAAACTGAGATCTAGATTCAGAGATTGGCCAGTTCACAGAGCAGAGTGGATTGTTTGTATTTTGATGTCCATTCAAATATGGGACATGACGTAATTGACATCTGTCTTATTTAACCTCTGATTCCCTCTCATATTAACACTGGGTGTAATTAATAAATCATGTGCCGGTAGTATAGTATTTATTCTGCCTAGTCATACTCCAACATCTGTGTCTAAACAGGTAGTGTTGATGTGTGTGTGTTTGTGCCTTTCCACCTCCTCAGTGCTGTTTCAAGTTGTTCTCAGCTTGTGGTAATGACAAGAAAATCACATTCCATCTCTTCACCAAAAGCAGGAAATGAAATGAAGAACACAGGAAAAACTACCTTGCTAAGGAATTTCAGGCTTGGGGTACCAGGGTGAGCATGGTATAAGTGACTAGTCATTCACCAAAAAACCCACCTCACTGATTTGGAGGTGGAAAGAGAGGCCCTCTTTAATGTATTTCATGTGTGTAAGTCACTTGGAGGTATGAATTATGGGCCCGATCTTGGTCCTCTTGAAGTAAAGTTTTTTTTAACTTGACTTTGAGGGGAGCAGGAGCAGCATCTTTGCTATAAAGACTTCTGTTATGACTTCTACCCATCACTCTTGCTTTTCCCTTCAATTTGTGTGATGATGACAGCTTTTGGACGGTCTCCATTCTGTTCATGCATGGTCTGTTAAGAATGGTTCTGGAGTTAACCCTGTTAGTAATCATTGGAATCCTGGGATGTACAGAAATCTGCTGTCTGTTACATTATTTAGGCAGCTTTACTTTAACTTATGATTGACAGGAAACAAACTCTTCAGAGTGAATCCTTCTAACTATTGAAATTGACCCCCCAACTCTTATAGGATTATATATTGAGTACCCCAAATAGCAAAAATTGGTGGGGAGTATTCTGCACATAACTTGGTCCAAAAATTATCATTGTTATTGTTCTGTTTTAAGCCTCCCAAAGTTGCAGAACATAGTTCCTGTTCTGCTGTGACATTCTGCCATGCACTTTGATCTATCTCAAATATCATGCCATCCAGTGTGTGCACTAGTCAAGTTTTTTCAAAATTTATGGCACTTAGTAGAAAATAATAACCATTCTATAAAATCCTTATACAAATCTATCATGCAGAGGTAGGGATCCCATCACAATTTCCTGTTAAACTTTAGGTTTTTGGTGTAGTTTCTTTGGAACCCTATGGAATTCACCGTTTCTCTATTAACCTCTTTAGAGCTTTTCCATTAAATAATGTCATATAATTAAAAAAAGACACTGACCAAAATGTGAGCTTCATTCTTCATCGTGGTTTTCTAGGCTTAATGGGGTAATGGAGGAGAATTGTAAAATTAATCTGTTCTGTATTGAGTTAGCTCTTTAAAACATACATGCAGGATACCCTTACATAAAACACAGTCAGACCATGTATAGCTGAATTAAAATATTCAAGCGATAATTGAATTTGAAAAAACTGTTATGAGAAGCAGCTGGAATTGCCTTCTCTGGTAGATTAGGATTGCATGAACTCAATTCATGCAGAATTGGGCGGTAGAGTTTTTAATGAAATACTTTAAATCTTGGTGTATAATTTACTGTGAAGGCTTCATTTTGTGATGTTACTTCATGCTAAGTAGGCATTGATTAATACTGACTACTATGAAATTCTTTAATACTATGAAATTCCATTGGAACTGTCCATTACATTTACATGAGTACTGAAAGAGTTCATCATCATTAATGTCACTGTCGAATACCAAGAGGTTTTCATACTGCTTTGCCACTTTGTACAAAATGTTGCCAATTAAGTGTATAACTCTTCTAATCACTTAGTACTAAGATCAGTACAGTAACTCCTCTCTTAACGTTGTAGTTATGTTCCTGAAAAATGCAACTTTAAGTGAAATAATGTTAAACAAATCCAATTTTCCCATAAGATTTAATGTAAATGCGGGGGGTTAGATTCCAAGGAAATTTTTGGGGGGCAGACAAAAGGCATTATATACTGTACTGTACTGTGGTAGGGAGGTCCCCCTGGCTTACCCCTGGGGCTCAGGGCTGGGGGTACAGGGTCTGGAAGGGAGTTAGGGTGTGGGAGGGCACTCAGGGTGGGGTGCGGGGTCTGGGAGGGAGTTAGGGTGTGGGAGGGCACTCAGGGTGGGGGTGCGGGAGGAGGCTCAGGGCTGGGGCAGGCAGGAGGTGCAGAGCACTTACCTGGAGCACTCCTGTTTGGTGCAGGTGGCTCTGCGCAGCGCGACACTGCCCCCATGGCCGCAATTCTGGGAGCCGCGATTCTTGGAGCTGTGTCGTCCCTCCCCCTCCGGCAGGCAGGGCCACCCAGAATGCAGGGGTTTTAGGGGCTCCTGGGCTAAGGGGGCCCCGGGGCCCTGGCTTGCATCTCTAAAGCCCCTTTAGAGCATGGGCCAGAGGACTCAGGAGGAGCGGGGGCAGCCGTGCAGCCAGCGGCCAGAGAGAAGCGGCACATTCCCCTTCAAAGCGCCACTTCTCTCCGGCCTGCTTTGAAGGGGAAAGCGCCGCTTGTCTCCGGCCGCTGGCTGCGCGGCTGCCCCTGCTCCTCCTGAGTCCTCTAGCCCGTGCTCGCAGGGGTGGATTCTGAAAGGGGCTTTAGAGCTGCAGGCCTTGCCCTGGGGCCCCCTTAGCCCAGGGCCCTGCCTTCCCCACTCCCTCCCTCTCTTCCGCCCAGAAAGTCCTAAGCACTGCCAAACAGCTGTTTGGCGGTGGGGGAAGCACTGGGAGGGGGAGGAGGCGGAGAAGAGGAACTTGTGCAATGCTCCCTTTGAAAGTCAGCCAAACAATGTTATAAAGGAGCATTGCACAACTTTAAACGAGTATGTTCCCTAATGGAGCAGCGATGTAACTTCGAAACAATGTTAAGAGGGAGGACGTTAAGTGAGGAGTTGCTGTACTGTTCTATCTGTTGATAGAACTTTTATGAACATGCTTTTGAACTGAGAGTACATTAACATTTGAAACTGTTCTAGTTACTTAAAAAACTTGAAAACATATTGGGATCAGAATATTGCCATGTCACAAGAATATAGCCATCATCAACAAAACAATATAGCTACAAGAGAATTAAGTGTTGACAATTGTTTTGCAGCAATTTGAGTCACCATTTTATTGGCACGAATTTTTGTAATTTACTATTCTGTAATTTATCACTCAGTTTTCTTAAGGGTCAAGTGTATCTGGGCTAGGTTTATTTTGAATATATAATATATAATTTAGTTTTGCTTCACTGTTATTGATCATAGAGTTAATTTGTTTTAATTTTGATTCTAGAAAGGACATGTTAACAGCATATTGTCTATCTTCTCAGTCCACTTGGTCTAGAAATGATTGGTGATTTTTGAAGAAAAGGCCTTCAGCCAATTTCTGTTTGCTTTTAGAGTTCTAATGGATTTTCCCATTCTAGGTAATGCTGCTAGCAGTAGGTTCCATGGGGAGAGTGTGAACTGAGAAGTTTGAATATAAAGCTTCTCTGGTAGACAGTCCAGTCCTGTCATAACTTATTTTATCTAACGTTCTTGCTTGCTTCCACTGCTCGCCCAACCTATAAGAGATAGTAACCTTCAGTAAGATACTTATTCTGGTACCTCAGTTTCCTTATCTGTAAAATGGGGACAGTCACAAGGATGTTGTGCAAATTAATTGGTTAATGTTTGACAGTGCTTTGAAAAAGTAAGGGGCTCCATATTATCTCTTCTGTCTTCCTATATATTGCTCACTCTCTCTGCTATCTGCTAGTGTTTTCTTTTTCAGTGGGGTTGTCTGCTCTCATTAAGGTGCCTTCCGCTCCCTCCCTTCCCGGTGTATATGTCATCGCCAATTTGCTGAAGAGGTTTAATGTTGATGGATGATGGTAGAAATCAAACTGCACCCCATGAGTTGTGGGATGTTTAGCCTAAGCCGCCTTTTGGCATTGTACCAGCCTCAGCGTTCAGAGCCCAACTTAATAAAAATTGAGTCCAGTCTTGGTTCTGCCGGTTTGTGCTGTGTTAAGATAGCATCAAATCCCAATAGAAGTCTCATTTTGATTTCCTCTTTTAACTGTGAAAAAGGATAAATCACCAGGCTTTCACAGTTCTAGGTGTCCTTGCAACTGAAATGTTTACTGAAAACTTTATTTAAAATGAGTAAGGGCCTTCAGAGATCATTATCAAAATTAGTTCTCGTCACATGTTTGCAGGTGTTTGATCTTTCTTTGAGTCCTTTTATCTGCCTGGTAAAATCACATCTTCAGTGTTGTGGCAAGGAAGCAGGTTTTCCTCCCTGCATTATACCTCCCATCCAGCAGGCTTAGCATGAATAGTGCAGCTTGCATCATCCCCCTGGGCTTGGTGTATCACCATCCTTCCAGGTGCTCCTTGTGGGGTAGTGGAACTCTGTCCCTAGTTATGCCATTGCCTTGGTCATAGTAAAGCTTACAGTGCCTATATATCTTAACATTTATTTCCTTGCTTGGGTTGTATAAATGTGGCAGGTATTGAAATGTCAGTGTGGTCACTTGGCAATCTTAATGATTGTTTTTTTAATGAAGTGTTTGTTTCTGGAATATGCAAATGTCTGTATTTATATGTAACAGCCTCACTTAATATTTGGTAGATTTGAGAGAGTGCCAGTTTCAGCTGGGTTACCCATTTTAACAATAGGAAATACCTTGCATTTGGTAGAATCCTTCAAAACGAAATAAATCACAGGACCAGTGTATGGGAACCCTAAATTGCAGATGCATACAGCAATAAATGGAACTTGATTGGTTTAATTTCTTGTTGCTAATACTTGAATAGCAGCTTCCATTGAAGAATCTGAGTTCTTTAGAAACACTAGTAAATTATGAGTCCTCCTCTGAAGTGAACATCATTCTCGTATTACAAAGGTGGGCGCGGAGCTCACGTTTCCTGACTCCCAGTCTTATATTGTAACCACATGGCTGTCTTTCCTTCCCTAAGTACTGTCCTAAGGAAAAAGCAGTTGGGTAAAAATGAAAGCATAAATGCAAGACTTAATATAAATCAGTTGGATTGAATTCTTATTAGAGGATTTTGATTCTTATCAGAGGAATTGCTGCTGAAATAAAAGGCACTTTTGTAATAATCCATTTATTTGCATTGCAGTAGCAACTAGACACCTCCTTCAGGGATTAGGGTCTTGTTGTGCTAGGTACTGTACATAAATGTAATGAAAGAGTCAAGTGAGTTATTTGCAGAATCACAGAATAAATAGCATGTTTAAGTATGACTGAGCAATGTATCTCTCAACCATGATTTGAAGAGACCATCTGAGTGAGAGAAAGTAGTGTGATGTCCATGCCCATTCAGTGCATTGTCTGGAGTGTCAGTAAAGGGTCTTTTTGTGTTGTTGTTAGGATCCACTGGAAAGAAAACTTCATACATTTTAGATGCCTTGGAAGGTAGAGTTCTACAAAGGTTGCCAACTCTGGTTGAATGTGTTCCTGAAGGTTTCATCACATGACAATCATTAATTAAAGATTAATCTTTAATTCCTGGAAACTCCAGGACAGTCCTGTAGGGTTGGCAATTGTTAGTGTGATATTTTCGTTTAGTTCTCTAACCAGTAAACCATTAATATTTGTGTTTACATTTTTCTTAAGAGATTTACATTTCTATGACTAAGACTTTTTTTACCAGACATTTTTACCTAATGCAGCCAGTGTGTAACAAATAATTGTGTGAGACCCTCTGTTTTGTTTTTTCAGATGATAAAATATGGCATAATTGGCACCGATGCCCTGATTGAAGATCTGTTTCACTGGAAAACTCTCTATGTTGCCGGACGTCTGCAAAAGCCGGTAAGTATCTTATTCTGTTCCGGTGGCTTGTGTCTTTGAAACACAGGAAACTACAGAGATGGAAGATGATCAAATGAGGCAGAAAGTAGATGATTTCAGTTGGTCAGGCTCTTTGAGCCACTACTGAGCAAATGTTCCTGCAAGGAACCAGTTCCACTAGAAGTCCAGTCTTTTGATAGGGAGTAAAAGAGAGTATTCATTGTCCCATATCATTTAATCTAAAACTAGGGATATTAACCCGAGTCTCTTGAGCACATTACATTTTGAGTAACTGAATTCTATTTATATAGATACGGTATTCCTAATCTGAACTGTTATGTAGGATTGTGTGCTGTTAAAAAGCTGCCATGTTTCTACCCAGGGACTGATCCATTTCAGGAGTAGCTGAAATTATTAGTTTAGTTTAAAAAACGTTAAGCACTTTGATATCTTTCAGGATGAAAGCTGCTTTGTTGTACAGGTGTTATCTAGTTCATTGTCGTCTTATAATACCTTCGTTCAGTGATACAAACTGATGCATCAGAGATGCTTGGATAGTCTGTCTTCAGGTCCGTGTCATGAAAAGTTTGATACACACTTTTAAATGAGGAGTCCTTGTGGCACCTTAGAGACTAACTAATTTATTTGGGCATAAGCTTTCGTGGACCCACGAAAGCTTATGCCCAAATAAATTGGTTAGTCTCTAAGGTGCCACAAGGACTCCTCGTTGTTTTTGCTGATACAGACTAACATGGCTACCACTCTGAAACTTTTAAATGACTGTATGCTTCAAATGTTCTTTCAGACCTCTAGATGGCAGCAGATATAAGTTAAATGGGAGAAAACTTCTAATATAGGGAGCTGATTATAATATTAATACAAAAAATCAGTTTTAAGGTAGCAATTAAAAGGGGAATATTTCAGCTCAGTTGCTGAATTCCTCCTCTCCTTTTTGCTTAAATTACTGAGTGAGGTAAGGAGTCTTCCATGTAATATGCTGGAATATATACTTAAGCATAGTCTGAATCTCCAGACTCGTAGTACATTGAAAAAAACATCTGAAAGGAGAACTCTGAATTTCCAAATGACTTCAAGTATCAAAAAAAAAAGTTTTTTTTTTTTTCATTTTTGATTTATTTTTGCTACTGCTTTTGAGATATGCTGCCTTTCTATCATGTGCAAGCCTCACTTTCTGAATCCCCTCTTGACTTCAGTGGGAGTTGTACACTCATAATGGAAGGCGCAGTTGTATTAATTTAGATGGAATGTAGATACCGAAGAGTCAAAGGTGTTAGCATGACCCTGTCACTGTCCAACATTAAGCAGTTTAAAAGAAGGTTCGGGGTTTGGTATACAGTCACCTCAGCCTGCTTAGTACCATGGCAAACACAACATTAAATATCCTTTTACATTTTTTTATTGAAGATAAAGAAAGAAAAACTGTTCAAATATTTGAAATATAAAATATTAAGTAAGCCTTTCATTTTAACAACCTCTCTTGTTCCCTTTTCCTTTAGCAGAAGAGAGTTTTTGGAAAGAACCCCCCGTTTTTTGACAGTCTTTTAGGTAATATTAAAAATAGTATTAACTGTTATTTTGGGGGAAAAGAGAAGAACGTAGTTGAGATGGGCTAGAGCTGTTGCTGCTGCTGCCATTATAGTATTTTCTGGAAGACAAAAGACATGCACACGAGGGGGGAGAAAAGAACAGCAAATATTAAAAATGCAGCCTCTGTCTCTGGTGTTGACTCTCATTTGCAGCATCACTGCTGGAAAAACACTGGCACAGTACATGGTCTTATCAGCCATTCTGTGACCTGGCAAACTTGCACCAGCATTGTGCTGTTTAGGGCATTGCTTTTAGCTGCCTCTTTTTTGTCACAGGTGTACAGCAAAATATACAGTCTTGACTGGCTTAGCCAGACTCTTATTAAACAGAAGGCAGAAGAGAGAAATAAGGAAAAAGAGAAAATTAAAGTGGGGAAGGAAAAAACATATGTGGTGTAGGGATTGTGACAGCCTCACATCCTGGGTGGTGGTTGGGATTTAGATGGAGCCAGTAGATCTGGTCAACTGGGTCCTCTCTTGGCCCGGTCTGCTCAGGACATATCTTAGGATCAGGATGACGAAGGCACAATATTGTCACACTGGATCCTAGGGTCCTAGGAGATGGTGAGGGTGGCAGTCGTGATAATGAAGGTCATTCCTTCCCCTTCTTTCAGTCAGCCATCATTGTGGTAGCCAGCTTTCCCCCCCCCCTCCCCCGTCTCTCTTTGAGGACCCCAAATGGGAGTGATGGGTGGAATAGGCCATCCCCTCATTATTTTATACACCAATTAGGCCTAATTTCTGACACATTAATTTTGATTCACTGATTTCCAGTCTCACACTTCTCTTGTTTACCAGGCATGATGTTAACACCGTCCTTGAGTTATATCAGTAGGCCTTTTTGAACTAATTCAGTCTTTTTGTCTCCCTTTCGTACCTTCTCCCATCACCATTTGTTGTGTATAGGCTAGTGTGACATTTTGGAACTTTCACTTTTTTACAGCTGAACTTGCAATTAGGATAAATTTGTACCTCCCCCACCAATCATCACAATGGTGTTAGACACTTGATGTTTAGGCCCTTCCATGAGAAATAGCCTTTCAAGCATATGTGCTTGATAGGTGGAAGAAATTATTGGTGTGAGTCCTTCCCATTAAGCTATTGGAAATTCTGGCTGAGTAAGGACTGCAGGATTTGCTCTTTTGCTCAAGTTTGAGCTATACTCATTGAAGCCTCAAACCATCTTTGCTTTTCATACCCGTCCAGGTCCAGAACTAAAATCTGCAAGGTTATATGCTACTTAATAGGAACGAGGAATTTTTATGCAATGTTACTTAGAGAAGTTCCAAGCAAAAACCTTTGTTCAGACTCTTTGTAGGCTTCACATTTTAGGTTGTTCTTATTGGTCACAGTTTCACTTCTGCTGTTGATCTTTTGATACAAACTTTTAAAAACAACTGTAGGGAAATTTTGTTTTATCTGTAAACCTGTATAATAAGGATGCTCTTTTGACTTCTAAATTTGTTGGTGATACAGTAACCTGGAGTGTTTACATTACAAGATCAGCATTGGATGCAAAGTAGCATGTCAAAAGCAAGTTCTCTGGACACATGGCTTGTGGCATATTAATCTTGACTTAAATTATTTTTATGGAATTCCCCATCCCCTCTCTCGTAGATGGGAGAAATTTTACAAAAGAATAACATGTTTCTAGTGTTGTGCTGTAAGGATGTTGCCTGTACTGATTCAGAACTACCCAACCTTTTCATATCTGTGTTCAGAAGCATTTGCTGTGGCTTGAATCTTTTTTGGCTTGACTCTTGCTACAAGTATTTTTTCTTACAAATAAGAAGTTGCCTCAACTGAATGTTCTTACTGTAGTGTTAATGATATCCATTAAGTTCAAATAAGGACATCTCCAATAAGGTACAAATGGCTATTTAGAAATGCTGACTCTCTTTCCCAGGCCTCTTTGGCTTTATCTCAAGACTTTATTGGCTTTTCACTCTGAATACAACATATAGTGTTGTTTAGCCAAGTTCCCATTTAGCCGTATGTTGAAGAAACAGATAAACACAATACTAGCTTCTTCATAACTGGCTTGTTTTCTTTAAGTAATTATACTAGATTTTTAAAAAAATTTTTCCAGTACTACCTAACTAGATAACGTTACTTAGAACAAGTGGCATTTCAGTGAATTTTCTGAGAGATGGATGGGGAGAAAAAAGCTTCATTAAGTATCATTCTGACATTGGGCATTTTCATGTTACGTGTGTATATATATTGCAATGTCATTGTGTGTGTATATATAGAGAAAACCTACAGTAACAAGCAAACACAACTCATAGATTTAACAAGCAAAGCAGCATGCATTTCTACAGAAACAGTTGATCTATCTAATATTAGCTTCATGTTCATAATGGTGTTTATCATACCCTTTCTGTTTGAAGCTGTTTTTTTTTCTTTTTGCTTATTTCCTTATTAGTCTTTCCTTGCATTAGGTCTTGAACAGCTTGCAAAAGTAACTTAGAGGCATGTGATATTAGGCTGATAATTCTGTATTCTTTACAATCCTTAGCATTGTTCTTTTTGAGGATTAGGCTACACAGTGAGGTTGTAAAGTCTTCTGGCAATTCACTTGTCTCAAACATATAGTCTTCATTACCTCTGACAGGGTTTTCAAGCCTTCATCCTCTATGCTTTTTAACAATTCAGCTGCTATTCCATTACAACCTTGTCCTTTTCTATATGGAAGGCTCTTTATTGCTGCCATGACTTCTTCATCCATTATTAGCAGGTTTACTTGATTAATCTGTGGTTGAGGATCTTTATTAGATCTCAAAAGAGGAATGAGACAAGATTGTGTAATGTCACCAGCTTTATTCAACATTTATACTGAGTGTTCAATTAATTGAAGAAACAGAAGAAGGTATTAAGGTGTATGGAAAGTTAGTGAATAACATTCACTGTTCAGATGAGACAGTGCTGTTGGCTGATTCTGAAGAAGGTCTGACAAGGCAAAGAATATGGTGTAGAGTTAAATGTGGACAAGACAAAAGCTGTGGTAATGTGCAACGATCCTGGGAAAATGTAAGATTCCAGTGAACGGTGCACAACCGTACAGCAGGTGAGAAATTATTGCTGCTTAGGCCGCATCGTTACAGAAGATGGAAGTTCAGATACCGAAGTCAGCACCAGAATAGCAAGAGCAAAAGGGACATAAATCTGAAGACTAAATTCTGATCCTAAAAAACTTATATTTGGTGTATGGTAAATCATGACTGTGAAACACAGACACTGAAACAATAGATAATACAGGAACTACAATTCTTCAAATTATGGTGGTGTAGAAGAGTTCTAAAAATATTATGGATAGACTGAAAAAAACGAAAAAGCATTGGGATGACTGGAACTCAACAAACACTGGATCTTATGAAAAAAATATAATTTGTAGGGCACATTTTAAGGAGTTTAGTGGGCGATATATGTCTACAGGCACTGGAAAGGCAGGTTGATGGCAGAACCCGAGGCAGAAAAAGACCTTGGATGGACAATGTGATATCCTGGGTGGTATGTATCAAAAGGACTATTCATCCACAGAGATTGGCAGAGGATCATACAGAACGAGCTGCCATGGTTGCACAACTCCAGTGATGGAGACATTACATAAGAAGAATAAATAATGCATAGGGCCATCCACTGAATGAGGAGAAAACAAAACATTGAATAGCTACTTATTAAGTGAGCACTGTCCATTCTGTGCAATGAATGAGGCAGAGGTCTTGTGGAAAAAATAATATGCACATCATGGCATACATGGAAGGGAGCCAAATTTCAGGTGCACACTCAACCTTAATTTTGCATTTTCTCACTTTTGAGCACTTGACTTTGCAACCTTGATGGTTTGTTAACATGGTCTTTTGTGCGTAATAGACCTAATTTTCAGCCCCCTAAGATCCTGGAAGGTGAAAGGATAACCTAACATGTATTTGTGTACTGTGGAACGTAGGAGCCCTAGACCAGTGGTGGGCAACCTGCAGCCTGTGCCACTTCCCGCAGCTCCCATTGGCTGGGAACTGCGGCCACGCCTGTGGATGGTCAATGTAAACAAACTGTCTCGCTGCCTGCCAGCGGATTACCCTGAATTAATCTCTCAGTGTATCTGCTTTTCTTCACATGAAATATTCAGACTAGGTCACCTGAAATTCTTTAACTTTCTCTTGAAACTTATATATGAGATGCTCCTGTGAATCAATCTCATTTTCTGCCCATTACTTAAGAAAGTTTTTGTTGTGTGTGTGTGTGTGTGAGAGAGAGAGAGAGAGAGAGAAAAGTCTCTGCACAGCCCAGGCCAATATTCCAATTCATTTTTAAAGATTTTGAAGTTTCATGTGTTGATGAGCAAAGTATACATTTCTGAGTTGGTAAGTATGAGTTTTCATAGTGCTTGATCAAAATTGATAACAGGGCATTGCCAGTAAGTTAATTTATCACCTTGACTAGCCCATGTTGTTGTTTGGTGGATCACATTTGAATAAGTTTGCAGGTGTTCAGAAAATTTCTTCTGTGGTTTTAAATGTTTTCAGCTTCATTTTAGGCTCACCAGCAACTCTTCCATTGTAGTCTAACACTTCATCATTGTCTTTTCAGGTCAATTTTAATGCTAGGAAAAAATACAGTAGTTTGTGGGAGAGGAAGAATCCTCTAAAATACTTGCTTGTAAAGCCAATATCTCTAAAGTATTAAGCATGGTAAATAAAAAACATTTGTCTTAAACTTCTGTGAACCAGTTTACCCTCAAAACAATTGTTTAAATTTTTCTTCACACTTCAAATGCAGAGGAAAATAAGAAAATCATATGCTGTCACATTTGCCATAGTATATCGGGACTTCGTTCTGATTTCAGCTCTGTTTTAAGGTGAAGTTTCAGCCATAGTAATCTGTTTGTCAGGCCTTTCTTTGTCCACGTCCTAACTACATAAGGCATTAAATATTGTAACTGGACAATTCCTTTCTTAGTTTCATTTACAGAATCTGATTTTGGCTGGTCTTTTTCATTCTTACTTTTTCACTCTTAAATCATATGGAAGTTCCATTAGAAACAGGTGATTAAGGTGGAGGAGGCCTTGGATTTCTTTGTACCACATTTGGGGCAAGTTGTTCGAAGGATAGCATAATGCCTGTGTTTTCAAAAATGCACAGTGCGCCAATCGCACCTACTAACTCCACTTTTCTTTAAACAAACCAGGGTTATGGCAAATAAACACATAGATGCTTAGCTGCTAAATTGTACACTCCAATGACAAGCTTTTGTGGACACAAGGTGGAATTTTCAAAAGCACCTAAGTAACTTGAGCATACAGTCCCATTAACTTCAGTGGGACTTGTACCCATAGTCACCCATTGCAAATATGCATGTAACTTTGCAGGAGCACCCACACTTGTTAGAAAATCTGTTTCTTATAAGCAAAGAAATTCAGCATTCCCTAACAGAAACAACAGGAGTGTTTACAAAGGACGAGAACCCACAGTAAGAAAGTATTCTTTAGGGAATAATCTTCTGAAGGAGCAGTTTATTCTCCGGTAGCCCAAAGTAGCTTTGTTGACATAAGGTTCTGTATTAAGATCTGTTTTATCTTGCTAACAACCAGCCTCCTATGTCCCAATACATGCATTTTCTGTTCAGGGTGTTAGGGTCTATAGTTAAGTCAAATCAACTGAAAGAACGCTGCTTTGCTTTGGAAGAGCAAACTTCTCTCAGAGGTGTATAGATGTACTCAACTTCCGAGTTCCACACTGCTTGAATGTGTGACTCTCCCATTAATCTCTATCTGATGATCACTCCATCTAGTGAAGATCCGCTAAATCGATGGCAGAGCTATCTCTGGTCGACCCTGGTACTCCAGCTCTCCAAGAAGACTAAGGGAAATTGACTGGAGAGTGTCTCCTGTCGTTGTTCACATAGCTGGAGTAGCGTAACTTAGGTTGACTTACCCCAGTAGTGAAGACAAGCCCTAAGAGGAAACTAATTTGTGTAAAGTTCTACTTCATGGATTTCCTAGCCCATCATATGGTAGATGACCAAAGAAACTGCAAGGGTGCCTGTTAAGGATTAAGGGAGAATGAGTTTCCCGGTTACCAGGAAGAGAGCCCCACTCTTATCATGTCATTCACTCCTTCCTTTTCTCTCACGTTAGTCTAGTGGGTGTTCTGTCACTTCTTGTTTCCTCATCAGATGTGTCTTTTTAACACTCACACAGAATTGCTATTTTGATTAACCCCAGGATTTGTTTCTAAAAGAGGGGAAGGCAAAGAGCTCTGTAGAAGCAAGAGGAGAGCTAATAGCTTTCACTCATTACTGTCTTGTAACTATAGGCTATTAATACTGAAAAGGGAATATCTACGTAGAAAATGAACACTCTCTAGGCTTAATTAATTACATCATAATGATGTGAATGATTTTAAATAAATGTAGTTTATTTTTACACACTGGATTGAGTAATAATTCTTGATCTTTCTTCAGTGGTATTTTCCTGATGAAATCTTGCTCCCAAATACTTTGATTTTTTTCAGGTGAAAATACTGACACAGAATGAAAATGGCAAGCTGCAGGCTGCCCTACTTAGCAATCTGAAGAGTGCAGTCACAGCAGCCTTTCTCATGTTGCCAGAAAGTTTCTCTGAAGAAGACCTCTATATGCAGATTGCAGGACTCTCCTACTGTGGTTAGTATATGTATTTAAAGCTTCTCTTGAGAGAAAAAAGTCTTTGATGGGACTTCATACTTTATAGTTTGAGAAATAATAATAATAATACCATAAATAATAGGAAGTCTAATATATGGTAAACTCCAGAATAGAAGTGACTCAGTGAGGCTGTGACTAATCATACATTTGTTGAGCTAAGGAAGGCTGTGTAAGGTCTGATCCTGCATTTGAATGCAGTGTGAGTTTTGCTATCAATTTCAACTGGAACAAGGTTCCACCATACTGCATTGTGCCTACAATATTTCATGCTCCAGTAACTTCATGAGCGTTTAGTTCCAAAGGAGATATTGGGATGCCCTTTAGGTAAGGCTGAGTGATAGTTGCTGTGTTTCAGGAGACCTAGAAAACACACTTGAGAATTTAGTTTGTGCCTGTAGATAACACTGGTCTACAATTTTTGAGAAGTCATCTTCTTCAAGAGATAAAATG